TGCGCGGTGACCCGACGGCCGCCGTGGTCTCTACGTCGTGCTTTTCTGCACTACGTTTTCCCCGACCACGACGGGGGTCATTAGGATGCCAAGGCTCCTCTCAGAAGCTTGGCCTTTTTTCTGGGACAGGTGTTGTATCTTTTGTCTACGCACAACGGCGGTCTCCGTCTACGACGGACGGTAAAAATAATGCGCTGGAGGGCCTGATTCAAAAAAAAAAAATAAATAAATAAATAAATAAAATAAAAAAAATCGAATTCTTGTTTCTTTGCGAAATTACACAGCCAAGTTATTTCCTATTGTAAGCCTATGTTACTGCATCTGTCTGCAGGTAATATTCATCTGAAGCTGACAATTTAATAAGAGCAAAAGAAAATAGTAACGATGGTATTTCGCATAAATAGTGTTGCTATAACGCAAGACGGAGACATCGGCGGACAAAGAGAACAGGCAACGGGAATGAGATAGCAAAAGCTAGCAAATCAGTAGAAGAACCGCGCAGTGTTTGCAACAGCAGAACTTCGTAAGACGTCTCCCAGGGAACGCCTTCGAGCTCGACCGCCATGTTGCACCACCCTTTCTTATTGTATCTTTCTTCTTCCTTTCCCTTTTCCTCCTGTCACTTGACCTACCTACCTATCTACCTCTCTCTCTTCCTCTTTAGCCAGTGGAATTGAAGCGAGCTAGTCATACAGCCATGATCTATGAAGCTGGAACACATTTTTTTATTGCACGATCATTGCCCGAATAGCGTAACAGAGAGCGAAAAAACAATCTCTTTCTCTATTTCTATCCCCGCTTTTTTCTCTTCCGCAAGTACAATTGATGCGGTTAGTAGTGAATAGCAGCGATACATGAATGTCTTTACAGCCGGGATGCACATTAGGTTACCTATAGAATGTAACCTACCAAGAAATAACCTGCGCTACATTCCTAGACTCAAATCAGAGTGTACCACACTCTGATAGCGCTATTCCCAATAATAACAGTATGTAACACGGTTGATCAGTTATAATAAGCACTTTCAGTGAAAAAACAAAAACACTTACCAGCTGTTCAACAGGTTATGAGGGATTGGTATGGACTGCAAAAGAAGTGAAGGAAAATGGACATAGCACTATCTGGCATTATGGA